TGCTTACACTTGCTATGTTGTGATCACTGTACTGCTTGTTCTCCTTTATATATAACTCTGCATGTGAACTGGCCTTGTGGCCTTTTGCTTGTGGTCAGAATGTGTGGTGACGTCGTGATCCACCCTGAGCTTGCTTTGCCTTTCTTGACTGGTCTTGTGACCTCTTGTTCTCCCCCACGTTGCCTATGGGGGTGTGTCAAACTTATATGTGTGAGAGAAGTAGGTAGAGTTAGGTGGGCTTGGGAGCCATAGCTTAGGAGCCTTGGTAGTTAAGTTCGAGGGTGAGGAGAGTGTCGAGAAAGTTGTGAAGGGGAATGAGGGTTTCACTATAGGTTCAAGGGTACAAATATGAAAGAAGTGAAGCAAGGTGCACCACCTAACAAACAAGGTAACTACACTAAGTCTACATTGCAGGCAGTTATAAAGTGATGTATACAATAACATTCTGACACACCCCCTAACTGTCTGCAGTGAAGAACCATGTGCAGAAACACCCCCGGAAGGGGTACACCAAGTAGAGCGCAGCAGACAGAGAGGGCAAATGAGGAGGAGAGACTGTGGAGGAAGAGAAGATGCGAGGCAACGACTGAAGCTGCAGAGGCACGGGCACAGGAGCGGCTGACTCAGTGGCTACCGAAGCAAGGGCGACGGACTACTGGAGTGACTGGCTCCGCGGCTATAGACGAGCGGCAGGAGCAACGGACCCACTGGCGACTGGTGCAACAGGCTCACTGGCTACCGAAGCAAGGGCGACGGACTACAGGCGCTGCAGGCGACACGACAGCTACCTTCACACAACCTCCCCCAGCTGCCCCACTCCCCTCTCACACACTCCCTGTTCAAACCCTAGCTCCACTCCCACAGCACCCCCCTTAAACCCTAAACCCTAGGCTCCCACACACCCACCCCCCTCAGCGACAGCTGCAGCAGTGGGAGACGAGGGAGGAGGAGGAGCAAGGGGAGGAACACATAACCGCCACCCCCACACCCGCCACCCCCATGCTCGGCACCCCACACCCCCAGCACCACGGAATGCACGGGGGGGGGGGGGGGGGGGGGGGGGGGGAACGGGACGGGCTGCAGGTGCGGGCTGCTCCAGGGGCGGCCGCTGCAGGTGCGGGCTGCTCCAGGGGCGGCTGCTGCAGTTGCTGGCTGCTCCAGGGGCGGCTGCTGCAGGTGCGGGCTGCTCCAGGGGCGGCTGCTGCGGTTGAGGGCTGCTCCAGGGGCGGCTGCTGCAGGTGCAGGCTGCTCCAGGGGCGGCTGCTGCAGTTGCGGGCTGCTCCAGGGGCGGCTGCTGTAGGTGCGGGCTGCTCCAGGGGCGGCTGCTGCGGTTGAGGGCTGCTCCAGGGGCGGCTGCTGCAGGTGCAGGCTGCTCCAGGGGCGGCTGCTGCAGTTGCGGGCTGCTCCAGGGGCGGCTGCTGCAGGGGCGGCCGCTTCAGGGGCGGCTGCTGCAGGGGTAGCGGCTGCTGGGGCGGCTGCTGCAGTGGCGGCTGCTCCAGGGGCTGCTGCTGCAGTGGTGGCTCCAGGGGCGGCTGCTGCAGTGACGGCTGCTCCAGGGGCGGCTGCTGCAGCGGCGGTTGCTCCAGGGGCGGCTGCTGCTGGGGCGGCTGCTCCAGGGGCTGCTGCTGCAGTGGCGGCTCCAGGGGCGGCTGCTGCAGTGACGGCTGCTCCAGGGGCGGCGGCTCCAGGGGCGGCTGCTGCAGCGGCGGCTGCTCCAGGGGCGGCTGCTGCTGGGGCGGCTGCTGCTGGGGTGGCTGCTCCAGGGGCGGCTGCTGTTGCAAGGCAGGCCCGCGCGCTGCTGCAAAGCAGGCACGGGCGCAAGGGAGGCAGAGGCGGCGGCCAGGGGGGGGTGCGCCGCAACGAGCAGGTGACAGGGCCACAAGGGGCGGCAACGGAGCCGCTAGGGGCGGCAACGGGGCCGCGAAGAGCGGCGACGGGGCCGCTAGGGGCGGCAACGGGGCCGCTAAAGGCGGCGACGGTGCCGAGATGGGGCGGCGACAGGGCCGCGAAGTGTGGCGACGGGGCCACCGAGGGTAGCGCGAGGGGCCGTGAGAGGAGCAGCGACGGGGCCGCGAAGAGGCCGTGAGGGGCCGAGAAGGGCGGCGTCCGCGCGTCCGGGGCGCACGGCGTGCGGAAAACCGCCACGCGCCCCGAGCGCGTGGCGGGAAGAAAAAAGTGTCGCGCGCCACGGGGCGCGCGACAGAAAAGAAAGCAGCGGAAGCACGTGGGGCCCACAGGCCAAGAGCGTAGTCGCTCTGATTCCATGTGAGAGAAGTAGGTAGAGTTAGGTGGGCTTGGGAGCCATAGCTTAGGAGCCTTGGTAGTTAAGTTCGAGGGTGAGGAGAGTGTCGAGAAAGTTGTGAAGGGGAATGAGGGTTTCACTATAGGTTCAAGGGTACAAATATGAAAGAAGTGAAGCAAGGTGCACCACCTAACAAACAAGGTAACTACACTAAGTCTACATTGCAGGCAGTTATAAAGTGATGTATACAATAACATTCTGACAATATGCTGCTTATTCTGTAGGTTGTAGTGGGGTAGCCCATATGGGGTACAACCCAATTAGGGTTTCCTACTTGTACCCATCCTACTGCTAGTTCATCCATTTTTGTTCGTTATTCTTACAACTACCGCAACAACAATTATGTGAATGCATAACATGGTAGAAATGCGTAATAGTTGGTTGACCCATACATTAGACTACTGCAACAACACAATCGGTTTGATCTTAAAAAACAATTTATCAAATCATGTTCAAATGAACACACTCACTGCGTGTGTAAAGAACCTTCTCGGAAATGATATTTTGATTCTAAAATTTTAAACCCACATAGATGTGTATTTAATACAACGGAAACATGAATGAAAACACATACGCACACAACACAACGCAAACCCACACAAATTAAAGAAACAATCACCAATCAGTACCCTTCAACTTTCTCACACCTCATTGTTCTTACGCTCGCGTAAGTCTTTAGTCGTTTTCATAATCTGTTCAAGTGTAGAATAATTAACTCTATAAGCCTAGTGATCGTCTTCTCCATTTTTCCGAATCGCTCGCATTTTGTCTTCAATAAAATCCACCAAAACTTCACAATCGTTGCACACATAGAAAAATGTCAAAATCCAAATATAAGAAAGGGTTTTATGTACATCAATCAAGCTATGCTTATTTGTGAGTGTTGACAAAATTTGACTCACGTCTTATCTCCTTCTAAAGGGTGTTGACGAAATTGACGTGCTCGATGTGTCAAAGCTCGTCGGAGGATCGTTTGACTTCGTGATCGTCGGAACATATTAAGAACCAACAAAAAGTGCACGGAAGTGCAAATTTAACAAGTAAACAAAAATTGTATCAACAGTATTAAAGGCTATTGACATTACTGACATACCTTCACATGTTACTGGTTTTGAAGCGCGTCCAGCATATCTTACAGGGTTGGGAAGGTTGGTTGGGAGTTGGTTGGCCCCGCAAACCAAATGTACAGTATACACAACATGGGTTGATCCAGTCGCCAAACCACGATTGAAGCCACACCTGTGCGACGAAAACACAGGGTGCGACAACAGAGTGTCGCCATCTCTCGCCCCAGGCACCAAGCATTTTACAGGGGTCGAAAATAGGAGACGGACAACCCTACCACACCCACAAGGAGCGGGGTTCTTGTGCCTTCAAGTATTTTACTCACTTCGTATCCAACCTGCTCCACTAAGACGCCCTCTTCAACACTTACTCTGCATTCCGCACCGTCATTCTCCAGCCCGCACACGTCACAATCTAGAAAAGGCCACTGCCGTCAGCAAGGCCAATCCTTGTTAGGGACTCCCGTCGCGGAGCTGCCAGTATCCTACTTGCCTCGCATTCTTCCAAGGCCTTTCGTAGGTGAGCTCGACGACATGCTGGATAATTGAGCCGCACACAAGCCCCACGGAATGGCGGTAGAGAGCGGAATGGTATACGGCTCAGGTGTTAGACGGCAGAATTGTTTGCGTAACGGCGCTAAAGGGCGAATTTAGTGACGGATTGTCTCATAGGGCCGAAATGGCGGTGTAAGGCGGAAAGATATGCTAAATTGTGGGCGGCCTCAGATGCCGAATGGTGGTAGTCGTCGGAACGAGAGACGAAACGGTGATAAATGGGACATTTGAGAGTCGAAACTATGGGTGATGGCGGAATAAGCGGCGAAATGACGGACGATGGCGGAATGAGAGGCGGAATGATGGTAGACGGCGGAATGCGCGGGGAAATGATGGTAGACGGCGGAACGAGAGGCTAAATGATGGTAGACGGCGGAACGAGAGGCTAAATAATGGTAGACGGCGGAATGGGAGACAAAATGATGGTAGATGGCGGAATGAGAGACCAAATGATGGTAGGTGGCGTATGAGAGTAGAAACGACGGTAGATGGCGGAATAAGCGGCGAAATGATGGACGACGGCGGAATGAGCGGCGCAACGATGGTAGATGGCGGAATGAGAGGCAAAACGATGGTATATGGCGGAATGAGAGGCAAAAAGATTGTATATGGCGGAATGAGGGGCAAAACGATGGTATATGGCGGAATGAGCGGCAAAACGATGGTACATGGCGGAATGAGAGGCAAAACGATGGTACATGGCGGAATGAGAGGCAAAACGATGGTATATGGCGGAATGAGAGGCAAAACGATGGTATATGGCGGAATGAGAGGCCAAGGGAGGTGCTGCGAGTGGGACAAGGGAGCTGCTGCGAGACTGGGACTGGGTTCGCTGTGAGAGGGGGAAAGGAGGTGCTGTGAGGGTTTGAAGGGGGGTGCTGTGAGATTATGAGTATAAAGGCACTGGGAGGGGGAAGTGAGGGTAGGTCAGTGGGGAAAGATAAGTGCTTTGGGAGGGGGAAGAGAGGTGAGGCCAGTGGGGGAAATGGAGGTGCGTGGAGAGGGGAAAGCAGGTTCTGGCAAGTGGTTTAGGAGGTGATGTGAGAGTGGCAAGGAGGGGGGGGGCAGAGGGGCCACATATGTGCTTGGCCCGGGGAAAGAGATTTGAGGTGCGCGGAGTGGGGGAAGAGGGGTCAGGGAATACGTTATGGCAAACATAACGGGTTTAGTTGACAACAGTATGTCCAGGTCATGACAGTACCACGGTAGCATCCCCATAGAGCCCATCAACACTAAAGAGATAAGCAGGAGTGGAGGTGCAGGCTGGGGCAATGCAGCGATGTGAGATGGGGAAGAGCGGTATTACCGAGGGGGAAGGGAGGTGCTGAGAGAGGGTGAAGGGATGAGAGGACAGACGGTGAAGGTAGGTGGGGGCGGGGGGGGGCGAGGGAGGAACGTGAGTTCGGGGGAGGAAGAGAGGTTCACGTATAGGGTATAGGGAGGGAGGTGCTGGCAGGGGCGGAAATATATGATGTCAGAGAATGAAGAGAGGTTCTTATGGAGGGGAAAGGGGGGTTGCGGTCAGAGGTGGTTGGAGGTGAGGTGAGAGGGGGGAGGGAGGTGCTGTGAGAAGGGGGAGCGGGGTGAGGAGGTTATATTAGCAGGCAATGGAGCAAACGCCAGGCAGATGGGGAAGGGCGCGTGAGGTCAAGGTGGGAAGGGACATGCGCCTTCTTCCTCTCTATCCGCCCTTCTCCCTCTCTATCCGCCCTTCTCCCTCTCTATCCGCCCTTCTCCCTCTCTATCCGCCCTTCTCCCTCTCTATCCGCCCTTCTCCCTCTCTATCCGCCCTTCTCCCTCTCTATCCGCCCTTCTCCCTCTCTATCCGCCCTTCTCCCTCTCTATCCGCCCTTCTCCCTCTCTATCCGCCCTTCTTCCTCTCTATCCGCCCTACTTCCTCTCTATCCGCCCTACTTCCTCTCTATCCGCCCTTCTTCCTCTCTATCCGCTCTTCTTCCTCTCTATCCCCCTTCTTCCTCTCTATACGCCCTTCTTCCTCTCTACCCGCCCTTCTTCCTCTCCATCCGCCCTTCTTCCTCTCTATCCGCCCTTCTCCCTCTCTATCCGCCCTTCTCCCTCTCTATCCGCCCTTCTTCCTCTCTATCCGCCCTTCTTCCTCTCTATCCGCCCTTCTTCCTCTCTATCCGCCCTTCTTCCTCTCTATCCACCTTTCTTCCTCTCTATCCGCCCTTCTTCCTCTCTATCCGCCCTTCTCCCTCTCTATCCGCCCTTCTCCCTCTCTATCCGCCCTTCTTCCTCTCTATCCGCCCCTAAACCCTCTATCCGCCCTTCCCTCTCTATCCGCCCTTCTTCCCCTCTATACTCTCTTCTTCCTCTCTACCCGCCCTTCTTCCTCTCCATCCGCCCTTCTTCCTCTCTACCCGCCCTTCTCCCTCTCTATCCGCCCTTCTCCCCCTCTATCCGCCCTTCTCCCTCTCTATCCGCCCTTCTCCCTCTCTTTCCGCCCTTCTTCCTCTCTATCCGCCCTTCTTCCTCTCTATCCGCCCTTCTTCCTCTCTATCCGCCCTTCTTCCCCTCTATCCGCCCTTCTCCATCTCTATCCGCCCTTCTTCCCCTCTATCCGCCCTTCTTCCCCTCTATCCGCCCTTCTCCCCCTCTATCCGCCCTTCTTCCCCTCTATCCGCCCTTCTTCCCCTCTATCCGCCCTTCTTCCCCTCTATCCGCCCTTCTTCCCCTCTATCCGCCCTTCTTGCTAGAGGCCTCTCTCCACCTTACCTCTAAAGCAATTCCGCATCTCATTCCGCCCTGAACCGCCATTTTGCATCTCATTCCGCTCTACACCGCCTTTCCCCAGCCCATTCCGCCCTATACCGGCTTTACCCCTCCCATTCCGCCCTATACCGCCTTTACCCCTCCCATTCTGCCCTCTACCGCCTTTCCCCATCCCATTCCGCACTCTGTCGCCTTTCCGCCCCCTATTCCGCCGTCTACCGATTTTCCGCCTCCCATTCTGCCCTCGCGTGTCATTCCGACTCGCCTATCGCCGTGCAAAGCATTTCCGCCTCGCACAACCTCTCCCTCTCGTCATTCCGCATGTGATTCCGGACTTTAGGGCCATTTCACCCGTCATTCCGTATTCTACCGCCTTTACCCCTCCTATTCCGCCCTCTATCGCCTTTCCGCCCCTCATTCCTCCCTCTACCGCCTTTCCGCTTCCCAATCCGCCCTGGCCCGCCATTCCCCCCTCCATTCCGCCATCGTATGCCCATTCCAACTCGCCTACAGCCATGTAAAGCCTTGTACCCTGTAGCATAACCTTTCTCTAAAGCCTTTCTGCGTTTCATTCCGCCCTGTACCGCCTGCTCGCCTCTCATGACGCCCTCCTTCGCCTTTCCGCCCCTCATTCCGCCCACTATAGTCCTTCCGACTCGCCTTCCGACATGAAGCACCATTTCGCATCGCATTCCTCCCTCCTTGGCAATCATACGAATTTCATTCCGCTAGATGCCGCCATTTCGCATGTCATTCCGCACTCTATCGCCATTCCGCCTATCATTCCGCCATGAACCGCCACCCCATGGCTCATTCCGCGCTGTACCGCCATTCCGCCTATCATTCGGCCATCTACTGCCATCACGTCAAGGAGGGCAACTCTGCGCCTGGGCACCAGACCCCCTACCCCCAATATGAATCCACGCTTCTTTATTTTCGAAACACCTGTGCTGCGTCACGGCAATCAGGTCTGTGCTTACGCTCACCTGAAGACTCTTCCCAGGACGATGCGTCTGAGGAACCCTAAAGCCGTAGGATAGTGGACCTCAGTCTACTTCCTGTCGAGGGGTGTACGATTGATTGGCGACCAAGGGGGAGCTGTTCTGGTCTGCCTGCGTTTTTGTTTCCTTCGTTTGGGTTTGTCGCACATATCACAAACCTGCCCAACGAAGCTAGGGCTGGCTCCAAACCTGACCCTGAGGTTGTGTTGGTGCTTTGCTGTCAAGGGTTTTCGCCCAACTCTTTTCCCCAGCTCGTCACAAATTTCGTCATCCGCCACCCAATCAGAGTGGCCTAAACCAAACCAAGTGTTAAACGCTAGAAATTATGAGACGCGAGCTTTAACTTGCCAACGCTTAACATCATTTGCAGCCCTTCGAGTGTGACAGCTTGTCACCTCCTAGCCAAAGGCATAGAAAATAACAAATGGGTAGTTATGCCTTGCTCAGTTCGTAGGATGAGCAATCTGGTCGGGAAGAGTTTCGGCAGCACCAACAATCGTTTCTACTCTCGTCAATACGAACTAGTAGAATTTAAGCTTGGAAAAACACGGATGCATTGGATTAATTTCAACAAGTACAAGCACACGATTATATAAATTCTACGCACAGGCAAGGGCAAGCATAAAACAGTTGTTTAACCAACTCGCAGGATTTTGCCACGCTGTAATTGAAAACGGTTGCTCAACTCCTTGAGCATTTGGCTAAACTGTACTTGTAACTGTTGCCCCTGTTGACTCAAATGTGTGCGCTCATGAGACCCGCATGTGACTCCAATATAGCTCTAATGACTTCATGCGAACTCACGGTTATAAAACGACTTTTACCGTTTGAAAAACGGAATAACCGCTTTGTACCTGTGGCAAAACGATCACGCAAAGAGACGTGACATTCGCGAAAATTTTCCCGTCCCATGAGTCAGCGCAGGATACAGTTTCTCAACTGTAATCCTGAGCACCCCCCCCCCCGTGCCATACGCACGGCCGAGATTTTCTCTCGCTCGTGCTGTACAGCGCGCCATGATCTTAATCATGTGCGTGAACAGTGCGGGACAGGGCCGAAACGTGCCCTCTCCTGATGCGATCGTGCTGTACAACACTCTCGCAACAGTGCGCGGCACACGCACGTGCCCAGTGGGGCCACCCGCGCATGCCAGGACCCACGCGTGGGTCTTGACTTTCGCGCTATTGATTAGCGCGAAAAAGTCAAGGCACCCCCTTGATCAGTCAAACTTTCGAGCCCCTGGTACACCACTCGCTTACATGGGACTCCAATGATTCTCGTGTGTAATATTGGATATCCATGGGACTTTCTGTCAGAAACGGAATGGTGTCTTGATTATTGTGGGTTGGGGTACATAAACCTAACCCTAACTGCTGTAACCTATATGACACGCATCGCTAAAGGCTACAACATTTGACACACCCCCATAGCCTAAGTGAGGGGTGTCAAGCAAAACCAAAAGCGTACGGTCACAAGACCAGTCACAAATGTCAGAATCTAACGAGCAGGAATGAGTGCATTGAGCAGAAACGTGGGTACAAGTGCTAACCCTAGTTTGGGTTGTACCATATATGGGCTACCCCACTATAGCCTGCACAGCACAAACATGATAACAGTTTGACACACCCCCATAGGCAAAGTGGGGGGAAACCGGTGGACTTAAGACCAGTCAAGAAAATCAAAGCAAGCGCAGGGTGGATCACAAAGTCACCACACATTTTGAGCACAAGCAAATGGCCACAAGGCCAGTTCACATGCAGAGTTATATAAAAGAGAGCAAACAGTACAGTGATCACTACATAGCAAGAGTAAGCATGCAGGTATATATATAGATTACAGTACAAGCAAAGTCACGCAGTGACCAAGTGAGACGAAACAAGCAAAAGGCCTAAAGCAGTACAGAAACGCTGATGATCACCAGGCGGAAGTGCCTTGGTGAATATATCAGCAGTGTTGGCCCGAGTGGCCACGTAAGCAAGACGAAGCTGACCACGCTGCTGCAACTCCCGAGCAAGGAATTAACGCAGAGCGATGTGCTTCGTTTTGTGCTCCAGTCTGTGCTCTTGACACAAGGCAATGGCGGCCTTGTTGTCTACGTAGAGAACTGGAGGAGAACGAGGCTGGTCTCCCAAGTTGGTCAGCAGGTAGGTGAGCCAGCGTAACTCCTGTGCAGCAATGGCTTATGCGTAGATCTCAGCCTCACAACTGGAGCAGATCTGGCACAACTGGCTCGTCCGAAGGTGGAGCCGAGAGCGAGTGACCGGTAGCCAGAAGAGTGAACTGTGGCGAGGACCAAGTGAAGCCGAATCGCTGAAGGACCTGGTGCACCATGTGTGACTGATTCGGGGTGATGGTGAGCCGTGCTCTGTCCCGGGTGATCTGCAAGCCAAGATAGCTGCGCAGCTCACCCAGGTCTGTGCACGTGTGTCTCTTCTGCAGCTCCGACTTCACAAGGGCCAGTGCCTCAGTATCAGTAGTGGCAAAGACCAAGTCGTCAACGTACACGAGGATGTAGAACGGTAGCAACGAAGTGTTAATGCGCAGAAACAGCGACGGGTCAGCAGTTAAAGGAGCAAACCCAAGAGCCGCAAATGTCGTCCTCAGTGTGTCGTGCCACTCACAAGGCGCCTGGCGGAGACCGTTGACTGGCCCTCGGAGGCTCCACTGGGATCCTGCAGGAAACGACCCAGTGAAGCCAGGTGGGCGGCGCAGCTAGATCTCCTCGTGCAGGCTGCCCTGTAAGAAAGTTGTGCTGAAGTCAAGAGAGTGAAGTGCGTAGTCACGCTGAGCGGCAACGTGCAGCAGCACCCGAAGAGTGGTCATCTTTGGGGTAGGGGAGAAGGTTTGGAAGAAGTCAACTCCCTATCGCTGACTAAAGCCTCGTGCAACGTAACGAGCCTTGAAGACAGGCGGAGAATGAAAATCCACATGCCATCGACTATGTTCACCCTAGGAGGGGGAACTGCGTCGACGTAAGTGCCTGTGGACTTCCAAGATGCCATCTCTGCGTTGCTACTGAGAGAAGAAGGGACCCGTAATCGCCTCTGCGTAAGAGCGCGGGGTCGGGATGTCTTGTGCATCCGGGTCTCCCTCAGGTGCAAGCAGCATGGCCACGAGATGAGGTATAGCAGCTGCAAGACACTCAACGTCCTCCTGCCTGTCCTCAAGGACGTCCGTGCAAAGAGCGCACTCACCCCCGACAGACGGAAGAGAGACAGACTCAGGCTCAGCAACAAGACTAGCGGCGTAGTCGAGACAATAAGAAGCAGCAAAGTCAACATTCTCGGCGACTAAGGCAGACGCATCAGTGGACTCAAACGAAGGGTTAGTGGCAACGGTGGCGAGGAGAGGCGTGACAGTAGGGCTGGCAGCACGAACCAGGTCAGACTCAGGGTCCGGAATGTGTGGAAGAGAGGGCGCAGGAGGAGACGACAGAGGGACACGCTGTGGAACAGAGGAAGGACGAAGTGCCATAGTGTGAGTGCCAGGGACAGGAGCAGGAAGCTGACGAGGAACACGACGACCAGTGCGAACAGCTCGAACAGGCGAGGCAGGACGAGACGCAGGCTCACGACGCTCTGTAAGCGAGTCTGTTTTCTCGGTGTAAGGAGAAGAAGCAGGCAGTGGGGAGCCTGGCTGTAACGGGAGGCCAGTAGAGGACAGGAGGCTAAGAACCTGGCGAAGCACGGAGTCAGGCGGTAACAGAGACGATGGTGATGGCGGAGCGAAGAACAGTCGCTGCTGTTCAGTACCACCAGCTCCAGCGCCTTCGGCACCAGCACCTCCAGTACTAGCACCAGCAGCTCCAGGGCCTCCAGCTGCTCCGGAACCTCCAGCTCCAGAACCTCCAGCACCAGTGTCTCCAGCTCCAGTGCCTCCAGCTCCAGTGCCTCCAGCTCCAGTGCCTCCAGCACCAGTGCCTCCAGCGCCAGGGCCTCCAGCTCCAGTGCCTGCAGCACCACCAGCTCCGGCAGCTCCAGTAC